GCCCCCAGAAATCCTGATCTGTTATTTACAGCTTTTCCTACGGCGTTCATCAGAGGAGCAGTGAGCCTCTTTAAACACAACACTGCATTTGCTGTCATCATTCATCGGGTAAAAACAAGTCTTAGAAGTATTATCCTTGATTTAGAGGCATGGAACAGGTCTCTACTTCTAAACACATCCATACAACCTGAGGCAGCCGGGTCTGGCTCCCCGGTGATGCTGTGCAGCATCACATGCGGGAAACCACAGGGATAACACTGCGGAGACCAGGGCAGACCTTCCGCGTGTCCCTGCTCTGGGCCTGCTCACCCCATTTCCTGATGGAGGAGGATTTATTTGCTTCAGAAGGAATTTGGGAATTCAGCCTATATATTCAACTTGCACGTAAATCATGGACGTTATCTAAATGGGGTGGCGAACGCAGACCCAGGGAACACATATAATTCAGCCACATTGCCTTGAAAAGGCACCAAAAAAGCCTTATATGAGAAATTTCTAAATCTGACTTTCTTTTTTGTGCTTTGCAGTCCTGATGGAGCAGGGGGAGCCCCTGGGTGGGCAGGGTGTGCGAGGCGGCAATGGGGCTCCCTGGGGTTCCCTTCCCTCACCCCAACTCTGCCACCCATGCACTTCACAGCCCCTAAGGTAGTCTCGCAGCATCTCAGCATCGGGTGCGCGCCTGTCCCTCCGGGGAGCCGCAGGGCAGAGCGTGGGCTGCCGCAAAAGGCGCCTGGCCAACAGCGCACCCACCCCTCGGGGGGCCACCCTCGACATTTCATCCCAGGGGGAGAAAAATCCGCGGAGGGTTTGCCTAGAAAGACTCCCTCCGAACGGTCAGTGGCCTCTCGGGCGCAGGGAGAGGGACTTTTTGCCGCTGTTTGCTCGTGTGTCAGGCAATATAAAGGAGTTTTGCCCCGGGGCTGCGCAGCTCCGGCCCCGCCGGGCGTTGTGGACGCGCTGTCGGGCGGCACTTTCCGGCGGAGCCCGCTTGACTCCACAGCCGGGTGATTTTAAACAAAAGGGTTGTGTTTTTTTGGTTCGCTGGTTGATTTTATTTTTTTTTCCCCAGAAAATAACTGCAACCCACCTCTGCAAGAATATATTTTACTTTTTTTCCTCCCTCCCGCCGGTCCCCCCCCCTCATGTGCTCCCCCCGCCTCCCCCTCTGCCTCCGAGCTGGCATGCGTCCAGGCCGGAGGATATTTTTTTCCCTTTTCTTTTTTTTTTTTTTTTTAATTTTACTTTATTTCCTCTGCACATTTCTACTCCAGCTCCCCAAACTCTTTGATCTCCCCCGCTGTCTCCTTACCCGGAAGAAAACCCCGGCTCTCTCAGCTGGGAGCTCGGCGCACACGTGGGCGCCCTGGCGCGCCTCCATGCTCCTGCCAAATTTAGTCACACAAAGGGCCCGGGGGGGGGCCCGAAGGGGGATGAAAGGGGCCGCCGGCGGGACATCAAAGGCGCCGCCGCCCCGCCCCGCTCCCGCCCTCCCCTATATAGGGGGCGCCGGCGGCGAACGCCGCTTCGCACGCGAAGGTGTCGTGTGTCCCCCCCAGTCCCGCTGGCTGCAGCCGGCGGGGGGAATCGTCCTTGGGAGCCCCGTCCCCCCTCTCCCCGGTCAGCCCCTCTAAAGCTCTGTGGGATTCATCCCGCTGCCCCGATCTCTGGTGCTCGCCCGCCCCGGAGCTGACGGCGGGTTCGCCCTCCCGGTTCGCCTCCCCCCGAAGACAGGCAAGCCGGGATTGCCCGTCGGGGAGTGCTCAAAGTGCGGGTGCCTACAACGCTGAAATGCCAAAAAAACCCCAACTAACAAAAAGCCACAACCCCCTCTAAAGCGCCCAAACCCCCTCAACGACCAAAATAATTATAATTTTTTTTTAAAAAGGCAAAACAAGTCCAAAAATAATTTAAAAACAAAGCAAAACAAGCAAACAAAAAACCTCACCCTAAACCACGGGAAAAACACAAACCCACGCTAAAATGAAAATAAAATAAAATAAAATAAAATAAATAAATAAATAAACACCTAAAGCGCAAAAATAAACCCTGTTAAAGGACTAAACGGCGCGGTAGCCGCTGCGGAGCCCCGTGCCGGGCACGGCGGCGGGCGCGCTCCCGGCAGCGGGGTCCCGCCGGAGGCGAACGGGGCCGCCGTGGGGCACCCCCTCTACCTCGGGCCTTGCCCCCCTGGCCGCGCACCCCTTCCCAGCCCCAGGAACCGCGAGTAAAGCGGCAGCTCGGAATTGTCTCCACTCAAATCTGACGTTGGAGTTGAGGTTTCCTGAGTTTATCTTCTTATCATAAATCATTACGGTTTCCATAGGCACACATCCCCCCCGCCCCAGTCCCGCCGCCCCCACCCCGGCCCTTTTTTGCCCTCAAAATCCTTCCACCAAAAAAACGATCCGGGAAAAACTCCAGCCCACGTGAAGGAACGGCAGAGGGAGTGGGGGCGGGGGGGGGCTGCTCTTCCAGAGGGACCCGGTAATGAAACAGATGAGTGGCCGCCCTGCCAGCTCCTCTGTGGGGGACCCATGCCTGCTCCCGGGCCACGCCGACCCGTCGGGGGAGCGGGTTGCAAAGCTCAGTCTCTCGACGGAGGTTTTTTTTGTGGGGGGGTTTTTTTTGTGTGTGTGTTTTGTGTGTGTGTGTGTGTGTGTTTTTTTTCCAGAAAGGGACCGTCCCGGAGCAGCTTCGCTCGGCCTGAGTGTCCGGTGTCCGCCGAGCACCAGGAAAGGGAAGAGGGGCGGGAGGGATGCGGAGATGTGCATCTCCGCTCACGAACCATCCCCGAGTTGTCTCTCGTTTTCCAAACAACCGCTTCCTCATCGCCTCTCCAGCCGCCTCCGGGAGAGAGGGGGTTTCCCTGCATCCGGGGAGCATTGCACAATTAAGTCCCTTCCCAGGGGTTACGTTTCTAATTTCTTTCTTTCTCGATTATTTATCTGACGCACTTGTTCAACTCGGCAAGTCCATCCCCGTTTCCCACTACCTTGCTCCCTTTCTCGGGGTTTGGAGGGTCTCATTTCTCAGCTGGATATTAATTACTCGTTCGTGGGCGATGATGCAGAGCCGCGGGCGGCGGCGTGGGCAACCGCGCTCGGCCCGCCCCGTGTCCCGGCCGGCAGTGCCGCCGCGCCGAACCTAGCATCTGCTGAAAACGGATTGAGCATCCACAAGTTCCCATTCCTCCGGCTCCCGATTCTTGAAGGTTTAGCAACCTGACGGGGCATGTGCAAAGCACCAAGCGCACCTTTGCGACGCCTAAATCATGGGAAGTTGTTTCCTGCACAATGTACGCCCATCGTGTTCGCAAAATAAAAGTTGAGGATCCTGACGTTTCCAATAATCAGCGTCTGCTTTTGTTTGGATGATTATTTTTTTTTTTTTAAATTGTACTCGTGCCCTGCACCAGGGCGATGGCGGGTCAGTCGGGAGCTAACGGGGCAGCGCGATGCTGCTGGAGGAACGGGATGGGGTGGAGGGATGAATCTCCGCTATGCTCTGGCTCCACTTACCCGTCCGAAACCGGGACAAGCTCATCCCCCCGGTCTCTCAGGGGCTACTACTTTTCTGCCGGGCACTTGCTGGATTCAGTGGAGATGTCTTAATTGTGCCCTTCGTCCGAAGCGGGCGCGGGCAGAGCCTGGGCAATCCCTCGCACACTTTCCACACCGGAGCAGCGCCATGTGGCGATTTGGGAAGGCTCAACAAAGCAGCCCTAAAAAAAGCAGGTCTATTTGCCCCTCCCGGGGATGCGGCTAGTGCCTGTGCCCTCCTCGGCGGGCTCCTGGCTGGGGAGGGAGAGGAGCGGCAGCGTCCCGGCGCAGATCCCGCGGCGCGGACACGCACACACACGCACACGTGTGCATTCAGACACACACAAGGACACACAGACACACGGACACACAGACAGGCTACTCAGGGCAGCCAGAGCAAAGTTTGCCCGGGGGCAGTCCCGCACCCGCTCCCCCCTCCTGCCTCCCCACTGGCCCCGGCCCCCTCCTCTCCCCCTCCCCGCCCCCGCCGCCCGGCCCTCCCTGCCCGGGCGCGGTGTCAGTCACGGCGGCGGCTCCTTTCATCTCCGCCGCCCCCGCCCCGCCCCGACGGCGGAGGGCGGGCGGGCGGGAGCGATGCTGAAGTTGCGCCGCCGCCGCCCCGCGCCCCACCGCCGCCCCCCGAGGGGCGCCGCGCCCGCCGGCTGCGGCAGGAGGCCCCGCGCCGGGCGCTGAGCGCGGAGGCGGCCGGGGGCGCCGCGCCGGCAACTTTTTCCCCTGCCCGCGGGCGCCAAGGGAAGGGGGGGGGGGTTGGGGGCACTTCCCCGCCCGTTCCATCCCTCCCTCCTGCCCTCCCTCCCTCCCTCCTGGGGCTGTTTCTTCCTCGGCCCCCCGCCCCTCGCGGTGCCGCCGAGCCGAGCCCAGCCGTGCCCGGAGCCGCGGACGAAGCGGTGGACAAAGGCCCGGTGGGTGCGCGCCGCGGGTAGCGCCGTCCCCTTCCCCCGGGACGCCCCCTCCCCCTGCCCGCTTCCCCCCAGCCGTTTTAACTCGGTCCCGCCGGGGTGGTGGCAACTTCAATCGGAGGCGAGACTCGGGCAGGCTCCGCACCCCTCCGCGTCCCCTCACCCCCAGGGTGAGCCCGAGTCCCGGGGGTTTGAAGAGGGGGTCGGGTCTCCTGAGGGGCGGTCCCCGGCGCGGTCGGGACACAAGCGGCTGTATTTCGACCTATTCCGGCCGTGCGGCGCGTCGGGGCGAGGGTCGCCGCGGGGTCTGTGCCGTGCGGGAGCCGGGGTACCTCGGCCCCGAAGGGGCGGGCGGACAGGCGGGGGTCTCCAGCTGCCGAGAGAGCAACCCCGAGGAGTTCACGGGATTTTTTCCTTCTTCTCTCCTCCTTCTTCTCCTCTCTCCTCCTCCTCCGCCCTCCTCCTCCTCCTCCCCCCGCTGCTCCTCCCGCTCCCCTTCCCGCGGCGGGCCGGCGGCCGCAGCAGACGCCGCGCTGCCGTGAGGATGCCGCAGCTGCCGGGGGCCGGGGGCGGTGGGGGGGACCCGGAGCTCTGCGCCACCGACGAGATGATCCCCTTCAAGGACGAGGGGGACCCTCAGAAGGAGAAGATCTTCGCCGAGATCAGCCACCCCGAGGAGGAGGGCGACCTGGCCGACATCAAGTCCTCCCTCGTCAACGAGTCCGAGATCGCCCCCGGCGCCAACGGGCACGAGGTGCGCGGCCGCGGGGGCTCCGCGGAGCAGCGCGGAGCGGAGGGGCGCGGGATGCCGGCGGGATCCGACCCCCGCTGCGAGGGAGGGAGGGAGGGAGCTTCGGCGGGGCGCTGAGAAAAATCCTGTTTGCCAAATATTTCCCCTAAAAAAAAAAAAAAAAAAAAATCCCATCCCAACTCCCGTCTCCGTAGGTGCGGCGAGCAGAGCCGGTCGCGCTCCGCGCCCCGGCTTGGGCTGGAAGGGGGTGGCCCCTTCCCCGCTTCGGCCCGGGACGAGAAAGTTGCCGCGAGTCCCCCGACGGTGCGGTGGTATTAAACCTCAAGCAGCCATGAAATTTCTTCAGTAAAGTCAGCGGGGTCGGAGCATTAGCCGTAAACTCTTTAAGGGATTTGCATAAAACTGTTTGGGAAGAAATTCCCGACGCTAAAATAACTTAAGGGCGAGCGGGGAACCTGCCTTTTAAAAAAATTTGTTTAATTTTTTTTAAATTTTTTTTTCTTATTATTTTTGTCTTATTTTTTTCTTCTTCCTAAAGATACGGTAAGGAGGGCAACCTGATTTTCTTCGTTATTATTATTTTTGGTATCTTTTTACCAAGACCGCCGAAGCTCCAAATATTTTCCACAAATTAGCCCCTTTCATTAAATGCAGGGTGCTTCTGATAGAAAGGCTTTGCAAACCCCCGTAGTTATTCACGTTGTCATAAAACGACCGTTTACACAAGCGTTTCTGGTACAGTTGCCTTCCACGGGACTTAAGATGAAAAAGATGTTTATCTCATGCTCTAACTTTTTTCTTGCTTCAAGAAGCTGTAGTGCTGTGATCGATAAATGAGCATCCATACAATGACTTTTCTTCTTTTTCTTCATTTCTGACGGTGGATTCCTTGCGGTCAGGTTTCCAGACAGACTCAAGCACAGGATTCCTACCATGATAAAGGCAGAGAGCACCCCGAGGAAGGTGAGAAGCGCGCAGTTCCGACAAGCAGTATTAGTCTTATTAGTCCCTCTGTGAGCATCCACACAGTCCTTACACCGGAACTTGGTTTACTACCTTTTGGAGAAGAGGGATGCCAGAGTGCTTTCAAAGTGCATTTAAAAATGAGATGAACATGCAGCACGTTTATCTTGAGTGACCAAATGGTATTTCAGTTGTTTAGAAACTGATAAGTAGGCCAAATGGATCTTCACTGAAGAAAGAACTATTTTTAGGATATCAACTTAAACGCATCTATCTCTTCACTCATACAGTGCAGAGTTGTGTTCCGAAAGTCTGCCTTTTTCCCCACAGCCAAAGCCCGCCGCTTAAATCTCCTCTTCCATATCTAAGCATGGGCAGACCTCTTGCTTTTTTTAATGTATCAGCTGGTTAATTTTAATTGAGGAGGACAGAGGAAATAGCAGAGTTCGTTGAATATCACTTACAAAGCTGGACACACGTACAAAGAATGTATGCTGTGAAGGATGGGAGATTATGTTTAAAATTAAATACTTATTATCACAAGCTAAACCTGATCATAAATTCCATATGAAGAGAGATACAGTTCAGTCCTGGTGCTTTCCAGGGCTCTGTGGCGATCTTCCTCCAAATTTGTTATTAAACGGCCTAAAAGCAATGATGTCCGTGCTCACAGCATTTTGGCAGTGAGAGAGAGGTGCTCAGCTCTGGATAGTTTTCTTTTCAGCCCTGCATCTCCTTAAAACCTCACTTTTAAATAGTGTCATTGTGAACGGTCATATAGATGGGAGACCTATTCACCCCCATTCTCAGGACCTGGACCCAAATACTTCATTTTCCTACCACATAGTCTCCCTCTCTTGGCTTCCCTCTTGGCTGTAGTGCCATGTGCATTCAACAGCCCCCCTCCTAAATTGTTTGTATCTCCTTCCAAGCCAGCCCCTGCCCTTTATTTGTTCCCAATGAGCGTAGCCAGAATGAATTGTTTGCTGCAGAGTGGCTCACTAAGAGAAGAAAACCTAGTTATCACTGCCCTATCCTCCATTTCCTAACAATAATGTTGGAAACCCATACTGGCAATATTTCTAAATCCACAAATCCTAGAGGCATGTGTAAAATCGGGGGAAACTGCTTTTTGAGAAATGTGATGTCATTGCTGATGTTTCTGCCTTGATTTGAATGGGGGCTAGCAAAATAATTTGGTTCCTCTGAGGCTGTTCTGTATTATTAATATAAACTCCTCACTGAGAGTACTTGCTCCTTTAAGAATTAACTCTTCCTAAAAAAAATGTTATTACAAATTGCTTCGGACTGCTTTCTGTCAGTGATAATTTCCATGAGTAAGGAAACATTTGCATGCAGAACATTTTTATATATACATAATACCTGTTTAAGTGCTCTAACTCACACGAAATGCCTATGTGGGGAATAATGTAATCATTGTTTCGTCTTCCGTAGGAAAGCATCCAGACAGTGGCTTATACAGCAAGGGACCATCATACTCTGGTTATTCTGGGTATATCATGATGCCAAATATGAATAACGACCCATACATGCCTAATGGATCTCTGTCGCCACCCATCCCCAGAACAGTGAGTTATCTCTTCCAAAGACTGGTTTTGGCAAGCTGGGTTTCCTCCTGTTTGGTCTACAGAGTCTGTTCATGTTGGGGCTTTTTGGGTAGCTTCAGCTGTGGTGGAGGTTGAGTTTCTGTTCAGAACCCCTGTCCAGTGGAGTTTAAGAGCTCTTAGAGGTGTTGGTCGTGATCACGATGGAAAAGCTGAGATTAATGTCTGTGAACAGGACTGGGGGCTTTCTTGGGGGGGAGACCTGGTTTACGACTGTAGGATAACGTGTGGCGGAATGATGTAAATGCTGTCTTTGTAGTGACTGGGACAGATATGAATTTTCTGGCTTTAACTTTTCATTTGTTGAGGAAAATTAAGGAAGCGGAACTGCTAAAGTTGCATGTCAGAAAGATGAGAAGATTGGATTTTTTTTTTTTTTTGCCTTCAGATGTGGCATTGCTCTCTGCTGATTGATATTTGTTTCTGCCATCAGTTGGTCTGCGTGAAGGCTTTATCTGTCTGGCAGCATTGCTTTGAAACATACTCTATATCTTCAGCCACAAATTGTGAAATGGTCGTTTAGGAATTAATATCAACCATGATGCAGTAGTTACAGCTTTCCTTTACGTTGTGGCGGGCACTGATTCTTCCAGGTTGGTCCCTCTGTTTCCATTGGTGTAGATGCATGTTTATGGATTTTAATGTACTTTTAATTTTGGACAGTCAATTCCCATTTCTTTTTGTAAACCTCTCGGTATACACATAAAACAGTGGAGCGGCAATGTTAAAATGAGCTGTGGAAATTATATTAGCACAGTCCGAGTGGAGTGGGAAAAAAATTGCTTGTAGGCATCCTGCTGAAAAAATGCCACTGCTGTTGTGTGTGCTGTAATATGAGAACTTGGATGCTGTTATTTCCCTCTGATAAAGCAGTTTTCCCTCTTACTGACTCTTAGATTTTTACGTGGAGGTGTCTGTCGAATAACTGGCATTGTTTTGATCTCCAGTGTTCTTGATTTTTATTCAGGGCTGCGGCATCTAACTTCAAAACAAAAAAGAAGGGGTCCTGATCTGTATTGGTAATTTGACAGTAGCAAAACACGTTAAATTAGTATATGTTTGGAGTCGGAATGACAAGATATTTTGGCACTGGGAAAAACACGGATCTGCCCTTTTTGTATGTCACTGCATTTGAACGATTCAAAAACTCATGCAATATGTTGCTTTCTATAGCTTTGGGTTCTTTTGTGTATAAATTCCAGTTCAGAGGCCTACAGCCATTTAGGGTGAAGGAGGATGACCATGATCTGTTGATATTTGTTGTCGTAAACACTGTTGGACAAACAACTTCTGTTTGGTTGTATTGTGGGGAAAAGGATGCAGCTTTTCAAGAGGGCACTGAGACCCAAACCCGCCCTTTTGAGGACCTGGAAACTTCAGACTTTTTTTTTCCCCCCTCTTTCCTGTGTTACCTTCCTAAGGAACTCCCAAGTGCTGGTGTATGGCTTTGAACAACAAAATCCAATTTAATTATTCACTGAGGATTTTCTCCACATGTATGTGCTGTGGGGCTGCCGTTCTTTACTGATCTGGCATCAGTGCTCTCAGAATATCATCTTGCAGAGGCTCTTGTCTCAGGTACTTGAGGAACTGTCCTTTGTGGGTACATTGGAGGGAAGAAAGGGGGGGGAAATGTTTCTAATTGTAAAGCAGCCTGCTGAACATCTGAGGGGCTAATTTAGTTCAGTGCTGCTCTTGCATATTAGAGCAGCACTACTGTTTCAGTAAAATAGTTCTGTTGCAGGGCTGCAATGTTGACATAAACCTGGAGTTCTTTCAGTTTAACCACAAGGCTACACGCTTCAGTTATTAAATAATTTTTTTGTTTAATTGAACTGTAATCTTTGTTAGTCTCCTAGCTGACAGTTGAGTTTTAATGCGTGTGAGATCAAAACACCGCATCCAGGAGATGACATGCACCGCGTGCTGCTGCTCACCTTTGTGGGGTCCCCAACCACCGCCCTGAAGGTTTGCTCTGGCTCCCCTTCTCAGGGCAACCTGCTAGGGCTGGGGGGTGGGCAAAGAGCAGCTGAGATCATCAAGCACTGGAAGTGGAGGTCTCCCCTGGGGTGTCGGTCCCCAGCCATTTGTGCATGGTGTGTACCTGCGCCCTGCTATTTGCATGACAAAGACGCTTCTTGTTGATGCATCTGTTGCCTGGAGGTGTTAGCCGGGATTAAAAAGCTGCCCCGGGGCGCTGAATCTTTTTTTCCACCTTGGAAGGACCTGCTGCCTTCAAACCACCCCAGGGGATGCATCCCTGGGGAATGTCATCCAGACACAGGACAAGGACCATCTATGAGGAGGGAGAGCAAAGCTTTCTTGGAAAAGGAAAAAAGTTACTTTCATCAGCATGTGTAGGGGAAAAAAAAAAAGCCCTTTTTTTAAAAAAAGGCAAATGCTTTACAAGCCTGTTTTTTAAAATTAAAAGTAAGAATCTGTAGTCAGACACAACTTGTCAAATAAACCACAGAAGAAGGAAACTGAAGTGTAATTTCAGTGTGGCTTTTGGAAGGAAGAGAGTGTATGACAAGGGTTTAGAATCTTCCCAAGTCTGCTAGAGTGGTCTTATCCTCCCCATTCTCCCTCCCCCCTCTCCTTTTTTTTTAAATTTCTTATTTTTCTGGCAACTGATTTACTTCTTGCAAGTTGTATTTGTAGGAGCAGGAGAGCATTAATTACAAGTTCAGGTACAAACCTCATGCTGCAGTGTGTATTCTTATCAGATAGCTGGGTAAGTGGAAAAGCAAAGCAGTTGGTTTGGGTGGCTGCAGGAGAAGTGGCATGTGATGGTACTAAAACCGCAGTAACACCTGGTGAATGTGCATCCTGTGTGCTCGAGATATCTCCTGGAGGTTTCTCAGCATTGCGGGGGTACTGAAGGTGGGAGGTGGAGACAGCTGTTTGTTTTCTAACGTGTGGGTTTTTTCTTACTCTTTGGTTAATAAGACTAGTTTTGGGGTGGCAAACCTTTCTCGTCTGTTTGATGGGAACGTGGGAACAAAGGAGGTGACCGAAGAAGAATCATTTCTCTTTGTTGTAAATTCATCCAGAAAATAATTTTGTGTTTGTTTCTCCCTCATTCCCCGTGAATTAAACTTCCTATGGAAAGATAGAGGATTTCTGTACCCTCTCTTTTGCCCGTTCTTATATGTTCTTGGGGTCTGGCTCAACTATCTCTATGTAGCTGCTGGATTTGTTAAATAGGTCGGAGGATAATATAAACATCTTATGGCAACTTGCAAAACACAGCATATCTGTTTGAAAATGATAAAGAATTCTGCTGAGAGAGTTTGAATACTAGGAACAGCGCAGGACCTCCCTAGCCCAAATTTTGGATATTCCATGTGTGCTTCTGCATGGCAGGGGGTACAGAGTTAGTTCCCATCTTGAAGAACAAACATCCCAGGAGAAATCGTAAGAATAATGTGGTCAGAGGGAAGAATGAGGGTAGAAATAGCAAAAATGAGTGGCTATAGAGCCTCAGTAAGAGGGTTTTGTTTCCCTAGCTACACCTTGCTGACCCTCTGAAAGCTGGCTGATTCACTCACTTGTGGGGAATTTTTGGGATCCCAAGGGGAATATATGGGAGCTGCAGAAGGATGCAAACCTGTTTTTTCATTATATTGCCTTTTCATGGGAGTTTGCTTCTGCTGACAATGCAATTATAGGGAATTGCTGGGAGCTGTGGTCAGCTGAAACCTCTGTGCCCAACATAAAATAGGGTTTCACAGCACAGACGCTGGGGCTCAGCTCCTGCTCAGGTGTCAGCCATCAGAAAGCTTTGCACTAATTCCCAAGTTGGCATCAGAGCAGGATGCCCTGGGGTCCTTAGGCAGCTGTGGTCCTGTCACAGATCTCTTTCTCCCCGCCACAACCCCGGACCTGTGCCTAAGGAAGTGGATTGCGTGGGCAGCTGAGGGGCTTGACAAGCCAGAGCTCACCCAGGACTGGAGCTGTGCAGCTTCACCCTGCACGGTGCATGTCTTTTCTCAATGAAGTTGAATGTTGCCAGTTGAATGATGTCGAATTAGCTTCTTAAATAGCTTTGAAATCAGGCGCAGAGGAGCACAAAGCTTCCTGACTCTGTGGAAGCAGAACTTGATGGGGTTTATTACAGTTTGCCCAGAGAGGAATTTTAGCACTGTTTTCTGAGGATCTCAGCAAGTTGCAACAAATGCTAGTACCGGGGAAGAATAGGAATCTGCTCAGTGCTAATAGAGGGATCTCTCTGCTGCAAACAGGTCTCTCAGCTGCTCTGACTCAAGCATCACAGCTGATCAGTCTAAGGTAGCAATCTGTGAAACACGAACCCAAGCTGTGAATGGTCGTGGGCTGAGTTTTGGTGCTGCTTTTTTTCTCCCGCTTAATGAAATTAATCCTCCTCCTTTTGGAAAATGGGGCAGAAGTTACCACAGTGCCTCTAGGTTGTCCTTGTCTGAAGCTTGATCTGGTTGCTCATGATAAGATGGCATTATCCAAGTGGAGTCTTAGGTATGTAATTCATCATTACTGTGATCTTTGGCACATACCAGTGAAGAAAACACCCTTTCTGCTTTTGCTGCCTTCTCCTTGTAAGGTTGATGCAATTAGCAAATCTATCTGGCTGTGAATGGGCAAGGGGAAAAGAAAATGTTCTCCTGATGTCTTAGTGCAGGGGCAAGAATTGCATGTGTGTGGCTTCAGCAGGAGGCTTTATCAAAAACTCCACCCATAACAAATCATCAAAGCTGGAGCTTTTGTATAGCAGTATGTGTGTATGTTTATGTCCTAAATATCCTTTTTTCCAAATATCTAGGAGTTAATTCAATGTAAACTTTAAATGGTAGAGCTTCTACTTAGTTTTTAAAGTGGTTTAAAAGCAAAATGTCATTCCTGTCTCTTCTCCAACTTAATCCCAGCCCAGAAAAAATGTTAATAAGAATAGCTTGTTATGGGCTGCAAGTGCCAAGGAGGATATGGCT